TGTCATTATTATTATAAATATTTATTATCATCACATTATATGTTTTCGTGCAATTGTCTTTTTTGATATTCTTTGATATCACTATAGGTGAGACAAGTAGTGAGCGACTTTGCGGTAATAATCGCGATATTCTCTATGAGCATGTTAGACCACTTTGCGGGCATTTTAACGCCAAAATTAGAGGTGCCGACGGAATTCAAACCAACGTTAGAAGGACGAGGATGGATAATCTGGCCTTTCCAGCGGAATCCGTGGTGGAGTGCCATTGTGGCATGTCTCCCGGCATTATTGGGTACTATATTGATTTTCATGGATCAGCAAATCACGGCTGTCATTGTTAATAGAAAAGAGAACAAGTTAAAGGTGAGCAGTTCTTATATATCTACGATAGTTCTTATATATGTATCTAATCATATTCCGCCGTATTTATTTTGAACGAAATAAATATTCAACGTGAATATAACTAAATTTATTTTTAATATAGTTTACGTTTTAAATAACAATAATTAACCGACGCTCATATACGCAATAATACGATTGAGTGCAACAATAAATTACATTAATGAATTTATTGACGTTATTTTTCAGAAAGGATGTGGGTATCATCTGGATCTTTTCGTGCTGGCAATTTTGATTGAAATATGCTCAGTGATGGGACTTCCGTGGTTCGTTGCGGCAACGGTTCTCTCTATAAATCACGTGAATTCGTTGAAGTTGGAGTCCGAATGCGCGGCGCCAGGAGAGAAGCCACAATTTTTGGGCGTCCGCGAGCAGAGAGTTACTCATATATTAATCTTCTTGATGATCGGATGCTCGGTGCTCTTAACACCGATGCTGAGAAACATACCAATGCCAGTATTGTTCGGTGTCTTCTTGTACATGGGCGTAGCGTCGTTGAAAGGTCTCCAGTTCTTCGATAGAATTCTGATCATGCTGATGCCTGTTAAGTATCAGCCGGACTATATGTTTCTTCGTCAGGTAAACAATGAAATATTTGCTATGTCTCATTATATTTCTTAAATTAAAACTTAATTCTTATTTAGTATATTTAGGTTTTTTGAATATATATATTTTCGTATCGTATGTTTCTTCTCTTTTTTTTTTTTTTTTTAATTTAAGATAATTACTTTATCTATATATGTATATTATTTATTAAACAAATTTGTTTTTTTGACACAAATTATGAAGCACATATGTGTTTTTAGGTGCCACTAAAGCGCGTACACATGTTTACCGCGATCCAGCTTACTTGCCTCATCTGCCTGTGGCTCATAAAATCTTTTAGCTCTACCTCTATTTTGTTTCCTTTAATGGTGAGTGTAATAGGTTTAAAAATCTTTTTATACAGTGATTTTCTATCATTTTTATAAGTACCCGGAAATGAATGGATTAGATCTAACTTAAACTTAACGAGATAAAAAAATGGAAAAATAGATCTGTTGGATGTCGAGAAGGGTCGGGTGATTAAGAAGAAGTTCTTTGCTCGAACTTATTACAATGTCCTTTATTGCTCCTGTTCCTTACAACGTTCTTTACACGGCTACGTCTCACTGCGGTAAACTCTCCGGCTTGCGGAGCCACACAGTGAGCCAGCAGTCCTAACACGGTCTCTCCTCTGCTTCATCCACGCGATCGATTTATAGTAATCGATCGCGCTGATTCAGCAGGCCCACCGGTCCTAGCAACGGCCGTGCTAGTTACCGGTGCCGGTGTCGACACATGCTGCGTTTGCACTTCACACAACGCGGCNGGCGATGTGTCGCGCCCTGTGGCAACCAGCAGTTCTTCCTAGAACTGCTGCCTTCCTGCTATCTAACTAGGTCATTGAGCAATGACAGTGATGTCTCATCACATTGCTCAATGGCCTCTTCTTAAGACACAAAAATTGGCTCACAACAGATCTAATTAGATCCAAATTAAATCTAAATAGATATAAAGTAGATCTAAATAAATATAAAGTAGATCTAAATAAATATAAGCAGATCTATTAAATTTACACCTTTATATATTATTTAATCTACTTTAGATCTACTCAGATCTACTACAATTAAAATTACTCAGATTTAGTTAGATTTGAGCAGATCTGAACAGATCTGAGGTGATTTAATATAATAGATCTGAGTAGATCAAGAGTAGATCTAATAATAAATAAAAGTGTAACTTTCCATAGATTTACCTATATTTATTTAGATCTACTTTATATTTATTTAGATCTACTTTATATCTATTTAGATTTAATTTGGATCTAATTAGATCTATTTTTCCACTTTTTTTATCTTGTTAAATTTAAGTTAGATCAAATCCATGTTTTCTCGGGTAGACTATTTAAATTGACATGTTTTATATATTATGACTTACAATTATATAGAATTATAATAAAAAGACTTTCTCTGTTTTGAAAAGCTTAAGAAGTAATATGTTTTGGATAACACGACTTTTGTATGAAATTTTGCAGCTTGTGGTAATGATTGGCATACGTAAATCCCTCGATCTGATATTC